CGTCTGCAACACAGTGCTACAGAGAAATACATTTACCTGCACTCTACTTAAGAATGATACAAAAAAAAGTATAGCAGGAGCCTGTGCCTCATCCCTAATTCTTGTACATCAAATTCAGTTCTGATGCTATTCAAATATTCACGGGAGGCAAAGAAATCTGGAAATGAAACCATGGTCTATTCCATACTTCAAGCCCCACTGTATAGCCTATCTAGTCTATGTTCAAATAAAAAATACACTAGAGTTTAGTTTCAAAATTACATACACACTGAAATTGCACCTTGCCTTCCCTGGGGCAGATCCCATAGGCAGACAGAACATGTGATAGGGAGGATTCTGTCATCTCTCCACCTGGCTGAACACAGGGATGAAGGGACAGGGGGCAATGGTAACAAGTTCCTGCCCAGCACAGCAGGCAGGTCTCCTGTGTGATTATCTCACTGTCCCAGGTGCCCTGGGATAACAGATGTGAGGCTCTGCAAGTGGAACCAAACAACAGCAAGGATGGAAATTCACTTGCTTGGAGGTTACTTCAGACTGCTCCCTGCATCAAAATTACTTCCATATAGAAAAAAGGATGGGTCGTGGGCATGGGACACTCACTTCTGAAGGGAACAGAAGGCCCAATATGCTGATTAGACTCACTTCTTGTGGTTGTCTGCTGCCTCCTCGGTGCCTGAGTTAAAGATGTGAAAAGAAATCTTTTACTCTGATACAGCTCTCATTACTGATTTTTCAGTTAGGCAGCAATGCAGCTCCAACAAGAAGTCCATGGGCAATCCAGAGACTTCAAGGCCTTGGGACGATTGCTTAAGGGATCAGGAGAAAAAGTAGTGCTCTCTTCTGCCCTTCCACTTGCAGGGACTGATGAAGGAAGAGCCAGCAGATTAAGAACAGACTCTGAGCCTGGTGTCATTGACAGAACTTTTGGGGTTTTAACCATGGGTTGGTTTACAGAACACCAAGCCAGTTGGTGACAGACAGGGTACACCTGTCTCAAAGGGGGAAAGGTATCTTTGCAGAGGAGTTATCAGGCCTTTAAATTTGATTTGAAAAGGGAAAGGGATGCAATGCAGCATGCCAGTGGGAGGGTGTGCTAGTGAGGTTCTTCAGTCTGACATCCCAGTGGAGGCAGAGGATGGAGATGCATGTGGCAGTGAAGACACAAAGGTTACTGATGTGTTAGAAATGAAAGAAGTGCCTGAGAATGATCACTAGAAATTATAGCTTGTTCCCACAAAAAGGAGGACTCAATTGACAGTAACTCAATTTAAGGGCATCCGTACAATGCACATAGCAAGGGTAAAAAACAGGAGGAGCTGGAAGTAACTGCACCACAGGACAGCTGTGACACAGCTACCATCACATGGTACCATGGTACCATCACATTGCACAAGGGGAGGGGCTGCAGTGGATGGCTGGGAATGCCTCTGAAGGCACACACAAGGAAGGATATGCCTTGTATGTTAGAGTGTTTTGATTGTCTAAGAGCTTGACAGTGGTGATGAAAGAGTTGTGTGTTTATGGGTAGAAATCAGAGAAAATGCCGGCAAAGCAGATGTCATGGTGGGAGGTTGTTACAGACCACCCAGACAATATGAAGAAGCAGATGCAATATTCTATAAGCAGGGAGAAGTCTCATAATCACTGGCCCTTGTTCTTGCACACGACTTTGACTTACCAGCTGACTTCTGGAAATATGACACTGCAGTGAGGAAACAATAGAAGAGGTTCCTGGAATGTGTGGAAGATAACTTCCAGGCACAGCTGGTGAGGGACCCAGCTAGGGAAGATGCCCCACTGGGTCTGTTTTTGTGAACAGAGAAGGACTTGTGGGTGATGTCATGGTTGGAGGTTTTACTTGGCACAGTGATCACAAAAAAGACAGTTTTCAATTCTCAGGGAAGTAGGGAGAGGGGTCTGCAGATTGACTGCCTTGGACTTCCAGAGGGAGACTTTGGCCTTGGGAAGCAGTCCTGAAGGACAAAGGGGTTCAGAAAGGCTGAACATTCTGCAAGAAGGACATCTTAAAGGCACAGAAGCAGGTTGCAACCATGTGCTGAAAGACAAGCCAGCATAGAACATGGCCACCCTGGCTCAGGAAAAGAAATGGTTATGCAGGGAGAAAATTAGAAAGGCCAAAGCTCAGCTAGAACTTAATCTGGCTACTGCTGTAAAAGGAAAAAAAAAATGCTTTTATAAACATACTAGCAACAAAAGGAAGGCTAAATATGATCTCCATCCTTTATCAGATGGAGTGGGAAACACAGACACAAAGATTTGAGAAAAAGGCTGAGGTACTTAATGCCTTCTTTGCCTCAGTCTGTAATATCCAAGACTGTTCTCTGAGTACCCAGTCCCCAGAGCCAGAAGACAGAGACAGGGAGCAGAAAAAGGCCCCCAAAACCCAAGGACAAAGTCAGTGATGTACTCCACCACTTAGACCCACACAAGTCTGTGAGGTCAGATGGGATCCACCCAAGACTTCTGAGGGAGGGTGAAAGTGCTCACTTAGCCCTTTTTCATCATCCATTAGCAGTCCCAGTGGGATGTTCCAGTTGAGTGGAGGCTAGGAAACGTGACGCTCATCCACAAGAAAAGCTGCAAGGAGCATGTGAAGAACTAAAGGCCCGTCAGTCCAACTTTGGTGTGAGAGAACTTACAGAGCAGATCATCTTCTTCAGTGCCATTATGTTGTCCTGTACAACAGGACAACCAGGAAAAAGGGCCCAGCCAACATGAGTTTTTGAAAGGCAGGTCCTACTTAACTGACCCAATCTCCTATGACAAGGTGACCCAATTAATGGATGAAGGAAAGGCTATGGTTGTTATCTACCTGGACTTCAGAAAAGCCATTTTCCAACACTTTTTCACAGCACTCTCCTGGAAAATCTATCTGCTCATCACACAGATGGGCGTACAGTTCACCCTGGGCGTACAGTTCACCCTGGCTGATGGCCAGGTCCAGAGTGGGGGTGAATGGAGTTACACACAGTCTGAAGCTGATCACAAGTGGTGTTCCCCAGGGCCAGTGCTGTTTAATGTCTTCATCCATGATCTAGACAAAGGATCAAATGTGTCCTCTCAGGAAGTTTTCAGATGATACCAAGCTGGGAGAGAGTGTTGATCTGCTGGAGGGCAAAAAGGCATTACAGAAGGATCTGGACAAGCTGGAGCAATGGGTTGAGGCTAATTTTGTTATTCAATGAGACAAAGTGCCAGATCCTGCCCTTGGGTCACAATAACCCCACACACTGCTACAGGTTTGGGAAAGTATGGCCAGTGGAAAAGTACCTGAGGGAGTTGGTCATCAGCCAGTGGGCCAGCATAGTCGCCAAGAAGGCCAATGCCATCCTGGCCTGTATCAGCAGTAGTGTGGCCAGCAGGACCAGGGCAGTGATTGTGCCCCCGTACTCCGCACTGATGAGGCCACACCTTGAATCCTGTGTTCAGTTCTGGATCCCTCACTATAGGAAGGACACTGGGGTGCTTGGAGCATGTCCAGGGAAGGGCAATGGAGCTGGTGATGGGTCTACAGCACAAGTCTGATGAGGAGTGGCTGAGAGAACTGTCTCAGAGGCTCAGATTTCTTTTTGTTCTCTACAACTACCTTAAAGGAGGTTGTAGCAAGGTAGGGGTCGTTCTCTTCTTCCAGGAAAAAGTGACAGGATGAGAGGTAATGGCCTCAAGTTTCTAGAGGGGATGTTTAGGCTGGATACTAGGAAAAAATTTCTTCAGTGAAAAAATTGTCAAGCATTGTAACAGATTGTCCAGGGATGGCTGAGTCACCATCCCTGCAGATATGTAAAACACATATAAGTGTGACCCTTGGGAGCATGATCTAGGGGTGCACTTGACCGTGTTATATTAATGGTTGGACTTGAAAACCTTAAAGATCTTTTCAACTCAAGTGTCTGTGATTGTCTAAAATTTTAAAATATGTTCAGCCTCCAGAGATCTAAAATGTACTACTACTATTTCAATGACTTTTAAAATTTATTCTAAAAACTCCATTCCCCAGCATCCTGAACCAAACAAAAGCTACTGTAAAATTTGGGGGACAGGACTGAAATCTGACCAAGTCAGGTTTGATAAACTGAGTGTAAATTAAGTACCATCCATAAAACACTCTCAAACTGAAAGAGCACTAAGTGCTACATATTGATTACCCTCTGTCCTGTACTATAGGTATCAAATGAACTAATCTGATGGAATCATCTGATGGCCTCATTATTTATTATGCACTTTCAACCTAAAGTATAATAGAATAGCTTAATGGCATAGCTTGAAATTACTTACATCCAGACCCTGTGACTCACTCATATGTTAATGTATTCATAAAGTTAATGCAAAAAAATGCAGAATTCCTGCCAGATTCACAGACTCCTCAAAGGATGTTTTTGTTTAATGGGGACTAAACAAGAAAATGGGGAGATTGTGGGACCTCTGTGAGTCCACCACAGCCTCAACTGCAACTGCCAAGGCAGAGGCTGTACTCCAAAATACAGATGGGAACACTTCAGCAAGGACAACAAAATGTTCTTGTATTTCTCCTCAGGCATCTGACATTTAATTATTCAGAACTCAAAAATATTAAGATTAAGAAAAAGGTAAAATCTGTACTTTCTCTGAAAGGAGTATCACCTTTTCAGGCTATAAGGGCAGTTTGTGTATGGTGTGTACATACTATATGCCAGGGAAAGCCTACCTCTCCTGTGATTTGCAAACCTCATGCACTGCATTATGTTCTTGATTTCTAAAAATTCAGGAGCAGGTACCCAGATAATAGCATCCACAGAGGGACATACATTCTCCTGTACACAGGAAACACAACTGTTTATGTATTTTCTGGTCCAACCATGAGGGACAGACTACCTGGTCTCTGAAGGTCCCTTCCAACCCAAACCATTCTGTGACAGACCATACTCAGACAAGCACCGGCACAGCTGTTTATCACCACACAACAAGAAGCACTCTGAACCCAATACAGTACTAGCTACCTGTTTTAGACAGTTTGCCGGTACTTCTGTTGCTTGATGAGCTATCTCCTCTTGTCAGGACGGTTATCCCACCAAAACTGGCTGTTTTTGTTATGGCTGGCTTCAAATTTCGATTTGAGCTGTCCGAGTCTGTGCTGCTCCATGGCCTCTGGTGGTCTGCCCACTTCAATTCATTCTCTGTACTGCTCTGTCGACTGCCAGATGTCTTCCCAATGCTGTCTCTGTTACCCCTACAGATATCATGAAACAAAGATTTATACACAAATAAAACCATGTAAAGGCAAAGTCTATCTTCAGGCACCCTGCAGCAACCCTAATAAAGAAAAAGGAAATACTCTGCCTTTACAAAAGCAGGTCTGAAATGGGATTTGACCCCCAAACTTATCTGTCTTCAGCATGTAAACACTGCTACAACCTTTTTACATGCACTTTTTATGGCACTTACCACCCTCCCCTTTTGATACCTCCTCAGAGCACTTTACCAGATGGGGCTGACACAGCAGTATTATGCAGCACTGATGCAGCATTTCTGTTGCCCACTGAGTGTTCTCTTCTCTCAGCAAGCCCCCTCACCACTTCTCACTTTGCTGTCCATCCCCTGTAATGTTTCTCTCACCAATTTCACCTGCACTCTATCTTTGTGTTCATATCCTTATTTCTATTGCAGCTTGCTCCCAGTCATTATCAGCTTTGTGAGGTCATCCAAAGCCTTGCCTAAACATGTGTCCTCTCAGTGTGACCCCAATCTCTTGACTGATAACGCTTCACTTAGAGACCCACAAGTCAGTTTACTTTGTTTCCCCTCTGCATAGACTAATAATGAAATTTCCTGGGTAGAGGCAGCCTGTCCTTGAACAGTTGCAGAGCACTGTGCTGTGAGCAATAACACAGTCAATCCGGTGATCAGAATTTGGAGCAGAATTTGGCTTATTTATGGTAAACTACTTGCACTGTACTGCTACAATGACAGGACCAAAATGCCTACCATGTCTTAATGCACCATGACTGTTATGCTAAGTGATGCTCATAACACTCTATTTGGAAGGATTTTAAAAGACATTTTCCACTCCTCTGTTGTATATTACAGTATAATAGCTTGCAGGCTCAAAGTTCTTTCTAAAAATTAAAAGGATGGGGCTGTATCTATTTAATTTTTTTTTGGTCCTCTTCTTCCTTGTAAACTTGGTTCCTGCTATTTATTTGGAGAACATGCTGTGTTGTGTCACTTGGGACATGAAGGAGCCAGTACATGTCAAAGATGGGATCAGGCTGTTGCATTTCTCACCTGTACAGAGCCTCTCTCAGTGTGATCAGCATGTAATCAGCAGTATAAAACTGTTGACCTTTGTTAGACCCACACAGTGGGAAGGCATGAAGACAAGCAGCACAGAAGCCAACAACACAAAAAAAAGGGAAAAGATTTGAAAAATAAATCATTGTTTAAGATGTATTTGGAAAGAAAAAAAACCCAAAGAATATTATTTACAGATTCTTTTGTACTCTTGTGCTTAGAAATTAACAATTCTCTTCTATTTATGTTCTAGTGAAAAAAGAGGGAGAGAAACAGATTGCTATTGCATTCCTGTTATCTGTGGCTTTGGGTTACAAAAAAAATTCTTTAATGTCTGTTTGAGTCCCCAAACTCAAACAGACATTAGCTATTAAGAGAGTTTGTGTAGACACCTCCTAAGTCCTGCATGCCCAGTTCAATATTCTCAGGTCATCAAGGCTAACCCAAAGCAAGAAGAAATTTTTTTGCCTGCTGCCTGTGGTCATAGGGTGCAGAAGCAGATGCTCCAGCACTGTTCCTTATCTGGTGCAATCTCTCCATCTCCTCTGTGGCTGCTGTGATGACATGCAGACTCAGCAACCACACATCAAATTTTCTCCTCACACATCCATTTCTCCTCACAGTGAAAAATTATGTAATATAAATGATATAGGTTTGAAGTGACATATGCAAACCCCAGTGCACACAGACACCTAGTGAATATCTGCCTTGCTGTCCACGTGCCTTAATAGATGAAGGGCACACTTCTGAAAGCATCCATTCCTTTTGCCTCCTCTGCTTAAGACTTTTGGCAGCTGACTGACTCTTAAAGCAGCCTGGTTGATCTGAACTGAACATGTGAGAGCTTGTGGTGGGAGAAGACAACATTTCTAAAACTCTCAGAACACTGCAACCACCAGATTCAGACTTCCATTGATTCAGTGTGTCAACTGGTAGAACTGCTCTCCGTGAAAATAGGGACTGACTTTTACTGATTTTCTGTTGGCCTAGGATGCTCTTTGGGATATGGGATGAATCTGAATGTGTGGAAGGAATTGGAGTTGAGAAGACAAAGTTAACAGAAAAAAGTTTCAAAACACAGATACTTCAGATAAGGGAACTTCAATCAGTTTTGCTTCAATCTACTTTTACTTCAGCTTTTAACAAAGCAACAAAAGAAAAAAAGGTCAGTCTGGGCACTAGTCTATGAAACGTGCCTGTCATTGATGCTCCAGGAAAAATGGAGTCTCTCCAGTCTCTCCCAAATAGTAATAGGCTGAGCAGCTAGGCAGCTGAAAATCTCATGTAGTTCCTGAGGCAGTGACCCAAAGAAAAGGGTGCTGTTGTTACCTCTTCATTCAGAGAACACAGGAAAAGTGGGGTAGAACTCTGTTCTCCATGCTCTTTTCCAACCAGCAAACATACCCACACATGTGAGGGTGTGCCTTGGCAAGTACACAGTTAGAATCACAAGTTGGATGCACTGGGAAATAAATATTAAATAAAATTCATACAAACCTAAACAGCTGTCTTTTCTTATGCATGTCATTGCATATGCTACTGTCTTCCAACAGCCTACTGAAAAATAAAAAGAGAGATTATGCTAAAAAACATGGTAATTCAAATTTATATGATCTGTAAAGTTTTATTTGATTCATAGATACATTTTTTCAATTTGTGCAAGATTCAGTTTAAAGAACCAAGGCAAAAAATGTCCTCTCCTCCCTCTCCCAAAGCTGTACACAGACAACTGAACATATGAAACATCCTCCAGCAAGGCTGAGGGCCAATTTAACATTTCCTGTTACTGAGAAAGGTAATTCTCAGAAGCTAAGGAACCATACATCTACATCCAAAGGAAAATTCATAAAAGTATCACCTAATAAGAACATAAAAAATGCAAGCCAGCAAAATACTGCATATGTAATTTTAAGTACTTGCTAAGTCACCTGGAAGTCTTTGCAGCTCAGAGAAATGCTCAGATCCTCTGACAAAAAAGAAAGGCAAAGCACTTAAACACACACCTAACTTTCAACATAGCCAATCAACAGGATTGCTCATGTGCACAGAGCTAAGTACAAGTGCTTCACCTGATCAAAGGCTGTAGGGCATGCAGCAAGAAAAAGCAGTGTTCTGCAGAATGCAGCTGAAGTCTCCCTCAGGACAGCGACAGTGCAGGCAGTACAATTTCCAACCTGGCCTTTTAGTGGTCTCCACTTGGGTATGCATCCTCACAGTGGGCTGGTCAGTCAGCTCCCGGGTTCAAGGACAGCAAACCGTGTGCAAATACCAGAACTGACCACATTCTCCTGCACACAGGCGTGGGGTTGAATGCATAAACCAGGGGAGGTCGGGCTATGCAGTTCATGGTTTATCCCATAAAGGTACCCACCCTACCCTTGCCAGTGCAGCCTCTGAGTGCCTTTCATGCTGACTTGGAAGTGTGAACAACTGAGTCATCTTTGTTGCCCCATCTCCCCTGAGAGGGAAAACCAAGTTTATGAGAGCATCTGCTTTTTGCTTTATGGGTTCCTCTGTCAGAATTTTGATTTATTTTGATAAAACATATCTCCATAGTCACAACACAGAAGCAGCAGCTGAGGAAATACCCTTGGCCCTCAGAACATAAGGTGGTTGGATGACAGTGGTCATGATCTCCTGAGGGCCTTTCCTCATTCCACTTACAGAAATGTCCATTGGAAAAGCTGGTTTGTACCATTACTGTGGAGTCATTTTCTATGGGAACAACTTCACCCATAAAAGTATATGACAGACGTAAAGATGGACAAAATACTGTGAGAGAGAGCCTCCCCTTATTCAAGGGGGTGACAAACAGTTTTTAAACCTGTGCAGGACAGACTTGGGTCAGCACTGCTCAAACACTAATTAAATTCCCCCCCTTTTTGGTTAAAATCTTTATCTGCCATAAACGTGCACAATTTTAAAGATTTTAAAAACAGTTAAACTACTTTACGGCTGTTATGGAGCCAACACTACATATTTTGTAGATCTCGAACACAGTTTACTCTCCCCTTTTGCTTTGAGTGGATTTAACATAACAAAAATAACATTCACAAGAACCATCATGCAGTAATGCAAAGTGAGCTCAAATATCAGCAGCTCATTACTACACTGCAGCAGTAAAGCAGGAACTTGTGTGGAACTTCTGAGCCTTCACAAGCAACCAGTGATGTCAATGCTGCTGCTCACTCCCACAGGAGAGCAGGCTAAACAAACAGACACCCAGGTCTGGTGTTTCATAAATACCATCATCCAGCCACTGCTAGAGTGCTTTTTAAAGATCAATAAGTTAAATTCTAAAGGCACTCGAGAGACAGAATGGTCACTTGAAATGCAAGCTTAGGTGATCCCCCTCTCTCCCACAATCTGCTTTTTAAACTGAAATGTAAAAGCCCCAGGAAAGCAGCAGTAATACTTTATCTGCTCAGACACCATACTGCAAGGCAAGCTCCATTACCCCCTCTTAAAGCACAAAACCACTGCAGATAATATAGACTGCACATTAGCTCAACAGTCTTCACATTAGGATAAACAACTATAGAACTACAGATGGACAAAAAAATTAAGAGAAACAGCTATGTTTAGCGCACACACACACAAAATAAAGCTATTTTTTACCTGTTTTCCACAAAAAGGTTTTCCTGGGAGCAAACTGACTGAAAAATAAAAAAGGCATTGTATCAGACGTTCTAGATATGCTCTGCTGTTCCAATTTCTTCCTTGATTTTAGAATTACCTCCCCTGCTCAGGCTTAAGGGGATTTCAACTCATGCATCACTTGCATTTGCAGAAGACAAGAGGGGAAAGAAGGTCAAGAATAAGGTCAGGCCAGTAAAATAAATCCCATGCATTACAACACATTGCCAATGAGGTGTCTCAGTTTGGAAACAAACTGAAACTTCTCAGTCAAGAGATTGGAAGAAGGCACTATGTGCAAAATACTGGCAATTTGAAGGGGAAAAATGTTTTTCCTTCATAATGTAAGGTTCCACTGGTCTGGCCTACCACCTCAAAATAAAACTGCAGGATAGCACAGAGCTGTAGGTAGGAAGGACAAACAAAAGGAAAGCATGCAGAATTGACAAAGTTCCTCAAAGGGAGAGAAGATACTGCAGTACTTAGAAATAGTGTGTGACTTCACATTTTATGGTTGGAGAGGGAATATTGAGATATATGATAATAACCTTCTTAATAATAATATTAACAACAATCATAGCAAGAAGGCTCTCTGCTGGAGGACTTAGATCCCAGAAAAGGTGAAGGGCTCAGAAGAAATAAATCCTATGGGAAAGTGTATAATTCTTTCAGCATTACTTAATTTTTTATGCAGAGAAATGAAGCTGTGCTCAATTTCCCATGAATAATTCTCCCTCTTTGATTTTTTAATTTCCCTCCTATTTCATGTTCACTACACAAAAAGCCTCGTAGCTGTCACTGGATTATATCTCAATGAGGGTACAGAAGAAAGAATAGTCAGCACTTGCACTGAATTTAAACAAAAGAAAGGTAAAGGAAGGACACCAGAGATCATGCCCATTACTTATGTAGCAATAGGACTCAGTCCAAAGAATAATAAAATGCCATCATTAACTTTGTCAAATTTTAACAGTATGGGATGGGCACAGATTTTGGATGTTTCTGTTTTGTAAAGGGTGAGCTAATTACCCACTCAAAAGAGTGTTGGCCAACACCAAAAGCAACACCCTGCTCATTCTTAATGCTCCAGCTGATGCCTGGATAAAGTTTTCCCTTAACACCAGAGCTAGTGCTGCTCCATCAATCTACAAAAGGAAGAAATTTATCCCTGAAATGACACTACAGTTTCTCATTAGAGTGTGATTCACCCACTCAGAATCCACATTAGGGAACATTTGACAGTTCTCTGGGCTTTCCAGGTGAGCTCCCACCCTGCACTCTTGCCAAATTTGCAAGGCACTGGGCTGCATCAGGGGCAATATGTTTCTCCTTAGCATGAAGCCTCAGGACATCAGGAACAAGTTCTCCATTGCCAGGAACAAAACTCTTACCAGCTACAGCAGACCTAGGGTTCCACCTCAGGCTAAGAGGTTTCACCTCAAATCAGTGGGATCTTTTGTACAACTACAATACTGTCTTCTCTCATTTTAGGTACCTTACTCAGGTACCAGGTTTCATTAAAAAATGTGCAGTATTCAGCATAGTCTGACTATGCTGAAGCAAAAAACCCCAGAAAAGCATACTGAAATCATCCCATGGGCTTGTCCAACCTCAGCTGTGGGGTCATCGAGCTTCATGATGGACATCTGTGCATTGACTTCTGTGCAGTTACACTCCAAAGCACAGGATTACAGCTACTCTTACCGAAAAACCTTTGCTTAGACCAGAGTACTGGACTGTGTATGCACAAAGTTACAAAAGCAAAGGGGCCTGAAATGCACTTGATTGTATTTATTTTATTTTATTAAAGTTTTTAAAGAGACTGGGGCATAAAGCAGAATAAATATCTGGGATTTATATTTTATCAAGCAAGCAGAAAAGTCTACTTCCTCCTCAGCGTCTTGATGGGAACCACCATCAAGTGTATTGCAGACTTTAAACAGAGTCCATAATAATTTGTCTTCTTGGTTGATGATGTTGGCACGGTGCCACACTGTGCCAACACATTTCCAACTCCTGGAAATTATTCCTCAGTACACGTGTGAGGCTGAGAGGCAGAGAAGACAGGCACTTTTTTATTATTTTATTCTTACTATTAAAAATCAAGTGGCTAATCAGCTCTAAATAGAAATTTAGCTACTACAAGTTCAGGACTCACTTTCCTGATTTATAGCATCAACAGTGCTCAATTTAAAGCACCAGGAAAGCTTAAAAACCCAGCACAGATGTTGTCTAAAAGATCCTTAAAGCACTTGACTCTTTACCCTTTAAAAAGACTGGCAACAAACCTACCAGACCAAAAATTATGTAAGATTACCTACAAGTTAGTGTCCTTGGAAATCTCTGCGTGCAAAAATTCCATTAGGATGCTCTGTATGACTAATTGTTATTTATGAAATAAGTATTTCACTTTTCCAACTTCCAAGAACCTTTTAAAGTCTGAACTGGAAAATGTGCATCAGTTCTGCCAGTCCACTAGATATACTGGGAGTTGCTGCACTTGTTTTTAATTACATTAGCAAACACAGATAACTATTAACATGCAGGCAGTGGACACCAGGTAATAATTTTCATGTTAGGTATTATTAGGTAATAATTTTCATGCTAGTTAGCAAAATGTGATAGATCTCAGACTTCCAGCTAATGCTTGTTATTTGATCTGTAGCCACAAAGAAAGTCTCTGTACACCAGTACAGGAGTTTTAGTATCTACAAGTTTATGGTGGCCAGCATGAGGTGTGCCTTTTATTTGTTTTTATAAATTTTAAGCCCTCTTCTTCCTAATCTTTTCATACTAGAGGGATAGAACAGGCTGAAGCCACGTCTATAGGTATTTCTTTTGTTCTTCTCTTTAATCAGAGACTGATAGAGATTCTCTGAGTCTTCTTAACTAGAGGAATCATGACTTACTGTACCTAAATGATCTGGTTCTTTAGAATACACTCCCTGGTGAAAAATAGCCACTACAGTTGACAACAGAAAATAAACAGCATGGTGTTTTTCCTTTAATAATTTCCATGTGTACCATGGGCAATTCTAGCATTTGTGTAAGTAAGAAAACATCTGCATTTTTCAGTGAATGCAGAATGATTCCCAGAGAACACATTTATGAACCCCGAATGGTCCTAGTGTGACTCTGGCTCATGAGGTTATATATTGCACTAACCTTGAAGAATGAAATTTCCCCCATGTAATTTGATTGCTAGTCTTTACAATCAATTTTCTGCATGCTTAAAAGCCAAACATCATGTATTATTTATGCACACACTTGGGATTCTCTACATACAGGGAAATAACTTTTTTTATTCCTGTGTATTGTTTTTTGTCTTACTTGGACAAAAACTTTTCAACTTCCCGAACACAACTAAAGCAGTTCAGACAAGGAACTTCTTTGCAAGACCCAGACTGTGCAGGTCCTCTGCTCCAATGTACTTGGCTGTAAAATTCACAAATTGTTTTAAAACTAAGATTCCAATAAAATAAGTTTTCCAATTAAAAAAAAAAAAAAACAACGTTGAAAATAATTCTGAGTATAAAAGAACTCAGTCTGCTTTTTTTTTTTTACACTGTTAGCAACCTGAAAAATTTGAGGTGCACTTTGTAGTTCTTATTTCAGTGAACTGGAATGATCATGCTTATCAGCTATTTATTTCTTCACCAATCCTTTTATTAAAATATCAATCTAACATGCTTCCCAATCCCTGTCACTTGCTGAGATAGAAGTCATTCAGACTTCCAGTTCTCCTTGTCAAAATTTGCGATAGCCAACAGAGGAGATGGAAAACTTGCCAGAAAATATAATTTAAACTGACTAATACTAGAGTAATCATCATAAGGACTCTCATAGCAATGGCATTACTCATGAACATGCTTATTTTGCTAAAACCTTCCCACTTGGAAATTGAGAGATCTGGTGCACTGAAGTTCTGCAAGATCAAAGGAAGGACAGGCAAACTTTATATTGTTATATGGGGTCCAGGTTAAGACATTTTTCACAGCACTCAAAACATGCATGGAATTTTTTGCCCCTGTAACCAGACTGCCTTTTCCTCATAAACCTTGTTTAAAGTTCTGACTCTTGGACTGTTATCTAAAGGGCTTGGTTGCCTCAAACATCTTTAGATGGGGGGTTGCTGCTGGTTGCAACAAGTTAGGGCAGTACTCTTGACCTTCATGGCTGCACTTTGAAGACCTCCCATGCAAGCCTTCTTCATGCATACTCTAATTAGAAGTGATGTATCTGTGATCCATTTGCTAAGATTCACAAGCAAGGCATTGATAAAGGCTTGACTACAGCAGTGTAAACAACATAGAGGTAATAAAAATACAACATGATTAATCATTCTTTTACTCTCTTTCTGTATCTGTAATTTTCAAAGTAACAAGGCTTAGGTATCTACCTCACACAAACCTGGGGAAAATTAGATTAATTAATGACTGCAGAGAGCCTTAAAACTTCACAATCTTACATGCAGTAAGTGACTATCTATAACAGGAAGACATTTTTCTCTTTCCTAAAATTGAGAAAATACATTGTCCACCACCACAACCAATGGCATCATCCTAAAAAGACCTGTATCTGGCAAGGGGTGCTCCAGCCAAAAAAGCTCAGATAAAACATAGATTGCCTTTGACATTAAACATACAGCTTGCTGAAATTCATTGCACTATAATGCTCACTAACACCTGCCATAGCAGAGAGAGAGAGCAAAGGAGTGGATATGAGAGAGAGAGGGAGAGATCTAACATTGCTGATCTTTAAAAATGCTCCCTCCCAATTCCATTTAAAATGTCTGCCACAAAGCACACTTTTACTTAGGTCCTGCCACTTGAAAATGCCAACCCAATGAACCACAACACCCTCCTGCTGTGGGCAATTCAAACGCTCTCCACTTGCCTGTTTTTAGAACTCAAATATCTAAAGGTAACAGCAGCAATGCACTATAGAGCCACTTTCAGCACACTTTTCCAGCCACCTCTGTTTCCCAGCCTGGCATTTCTAGCTTCGGCTTGTGATAGAAACTAGACTATCTTGAAAATAACTTTCCATTTGGTAATTTTTAGCATTTTGCCTCATCTGAATTCTGCATCAAAACGCAAAGATTTTTTTGGTTTTGAACAAGCTCTTTTATAATGTGTCAAAGCCTCTTATATTTCATATAAGAAACTTGTTGCAAAGTGGCTTTTGCAGCTGTTGATCAACTTGGCAATTCTACCATGTATGGCCTGGGACAGTATTTGCATCAGGCCAACATGCTGACAGCAAAACAGAAACCGAAGGGCCTCTGCTTTTACTGGAATCATCTCAGCCAGGAAAAAAGTGAAGCTCAAAACATTTAGATGTAGCTAGCTATTTACTAAGAAGCAAGTGGGACAACACACACCTTAAAACTATACAGTGTATTCTGCCAAAAAAACCCAACTTGGACACGTGCAATTCCTAATAGTACTATTAGGCCTGTAACATATGAACAGGTTTAATTTAAAAGGACACTGCCCAATATGATTTTCAAAAATAGTTCTAATTGAATTTATTCCCATATTCTTCCTAAATGGCAGAACTACTACTGAGATATGAAACAAAACATTAAAATGCTGACTTTTTCTTTTTTTCTCCTTTTATTACCTCATCACTACAGTAATTTAGGAACTTGTGATTTTCTTCTTTTTTTTTTCAGGAACATCAGGTATTGCTCAAAGATGTTTCAGATTTAAGTATTTCCCTTCACAGTATACCTTGCTATGCAAGTTCTGATTTTTTTGGTAAGAGCAAGAATTTTAACATCTGCTTCATTTTATTCCTTTCAGAATATAATCACCAACAGCATGACTGACTCTTCTTGATGGTAGAAGTACCGTTCTTTAATCAGTCATTTAAAAGAATGATGCAACTCCATGTTTAGCCTCTACCCTTTCTTTGTTCTCAGTGTCTTGATGCTACAGCATTGGCAAAAAAAACAAAAACCCATGGGGAGTCTCTGCAGAAGGACACTTATAAAGAGTTGATCCACCGCGAAATAAATATAAAATAATACAGCATTTGAAATTATTGAGAGTGCCCACTTGAATCACTGTTCTTTGGCTAGCAGAAGGAAAAAGGAAATAAACCTACGCCATGTGAACATGAACATTCAAAGAAACAGGATAGGCACTACCCAGACAAGATGCTGGGCCTGATCTCTCCTCTACTCTTCTCCCTGAAACTCTCCCCACCTCACTCTCTAGAAGCTAACCTCCACACCTCTAAAGCTCCTCTGAGACCCTCTGTGCCAGTCTGCTTTCCCTGTCACCTCCAGCTCCACAGGGCAAGTCCGGCTGCAGTGTTGTAGGAGGGGGGCAAAACTCTCTGACTACCAGCAAAGGTATGGCACTAAAGAGGCAATTAAAATAACTACTCACATCTTGTGCAAATATTCTCTCCCTCACTCTCTGATACTCCTCTTCTCTCTCTTCAATTGATTTACTTCGTCTGTCATCTCTAAATGGAAGAATTCTGTTTTGCTGAGCAGAAAGAAAACCAGGAGGGTTATATAAGTTGAGCTGTTAAAAACTGCCATTAAGTAACTGTCAGCTGAGAATAAAAAATGTTCACTTAAACAAATGAAGCACGAAAATGATAGCTGTTGTTCCTGCACAAAGAACCCTGCGAGACTGGGCGCTTGAGGATTTCCAGTTCAATACTGCACATGAGTTCATCGAGCAGGTGGCCAAAAGGAGGCTTTCTGCACAACTTTTGTGGACCCATCACCCTAAAACTGGGTGTTCTCACCCCAGGTCTAAGTGCCATTGTTCTCAACTGCTAACATTTCTTGGTTCTCCTACCAGCTGTGAGGAGCAGGAGGGCAGGCAGTGGTGGACTACCTGAGAAACTAAGGAAGAAAGAGGGCAACTAGGCTGCAAGAGCTAAACTGCAAACCCTAGAAGAAACCCACTAAGTCTGTGTGTGCAAGGAGAAGTCCCAGATTTTCAGCACTACAGTTTTAACCATTTTCACATCGTATGGAACCCTCTACTGAAGTTTGGCTGGAAAAGGAAGGGCCATTTTTGCCTCTTGCTAAGTCACAGTGTGGGAAATGGCTGTGCGTAGGGAAGGAGGTGAGGAGACAAGCCCCATTGGGAAATGCTTCATTGACAAATGGGTTTCAAGGACCAGTCCTTCTCCCTCTGCACCCCAGCACCAGGTGGGATAGGTCATGCTGCTTTCCTTTTAGTGGTCCCCACAGTCACCACACCATGAAATTGCTTGGGGTTTGCTTTCAAAGCCAACTTGTATGCAGCACAACTGGCAAGGCTGCCATGTACAACTGAAAGTCAAGGAAAAAAGAGTGAAAAAAGGAGAAAAAAAAAGGTCCTTTACTGAAGACATGAAGAGAAATTGGCAACAAGAGACTCATTGGTTGGTTCTTCCATAAACATAGCCCTAGCAAAGAGCGCATATGCTGTCCTCTTACCTGTGAGATTTTTCTCATAAAAGCGAATAACATCAGATTTTTTTTTAGCTGTTTCAGATTTTTTTTTTTGTTTGTTTTTAATCTATTCCACATATACAGCTTGCACTGGATTGAAACAGCACAACACCCGTTTTAAAGGCAGCACAAACACACACATTTCCCTGGTGCTCCCCTAATCATCAAGCTCACCTAATTGAAGGTAGTGTTATGGCACAGGCAACACAAGGGAAAACGTCTGCCACAGTACATGCACAAGCAAGTAAATTACACAGACAGTAAAAGGTGGTGAGGGCACAGCAGGAGGAAGGGAAGTAAAAGACAGACCTCATTTATTTTTGGTCAAAATGTAATTTAGGCTGGTTTAAAAAAAAATCAACCTGGCATCACTATCACATCTTTGGGGCTTTTTTCTTTTTTTACACTTTTTTTTCCCTCTCTCCTTTTTGGGCTACATCAGTTCATCACTGGTCCATAACAACTCCAACTCTGAACTCTGAATGTGTACAACAGAAGAAGGAAGCTACAGGGAGCGTAACAACTGCCATAGTTAGGCAAGACATTGAGGAATGCGACTGACACAGCCTTCCACGCAGCCCAGAGCCACTGGCATTCCCCCTCCCGTGGGCATGCAGCAATTCCTGCGCCAAGCAAACCACCCATGCAAACCCACACACTGCCACGGCTGAAGCGGCCACGCTGGGGCTCGGTGCCACCCACAGTGGGATGTGTGCCAAAGGAGGAGGGGAGGGGCAGGGGAGGAGAGAGCAACAACAAAAGAACAACAATAACATCAGTCAGCCCACCTTCAAAAACAGAACAAATTTCAGCAACTCTCGAACCGAGAACCAACCTGATTGTCTTCTTTATCAATACTAGAGTTATCTCGCTTCAAGATAAATCGCTTCTGGGATTCTTCACCTTTTTCATCTTTTAAATGTTCAGAAAACCTTTGCTCTGGTCTGCCAGCAAAGTAAAACATAGCAATAAAAAAATCTTTCTTTTGGTTTTGCTTTGATCTTTATTTCTCAGTGCTCTTTGTTTTCACAGAGGCATTCAGTGCAAAAGCAGTTAACATTTGTGAGATGCTGCCTATAGCTGTCTGAGGCTGCTGTATCGCTGCTAACTGTTATTGCTATAAATAGCTTTTGTTGTTGTTGTGTAGCAAGGAATGGGAATCCAAAGTCTCAGTCACTGAAATATTTAGACTCTCCTCACTGTGACTGAAGGACAGGGAAAACAAATTACCATACTGTATGTTAATTTGCTTCCTTCAGTAGCTGGGATCTCTGGCAACACTGCCACTTAGTGAAGCCTATCCATCTTGAAAAGCAAGGAAAAAACTGGTAGGAATCTTAAAAAACACAAAACCAAAACCAGACATCCAAGAGTTTCCTCATTCCTGGTAAGTAAAACCGGTAAAGGAAGGGACTGATGATGTTTTGCTTAAACAAAATTTTATCTCATCACCACTAAGTGGGAAAAATACTCCAGAACAATCATAGAGCATCAATTAGTTCACTGATTTAAACTCATTTATTTATTTATTTTTAAATTCATACCCTAGGGTTTTGGCTCAACATTTTCAGGTTTATAAGATGTTATAACGCCATTCCATGTTCTCACCTTGTGCAAAAAGCAGTATCTTATATCACCCCACCTTGTGCAAAAAGAGAACTTTAAGAAGCAACTTTTTTGGCCAAGTTGGTCACAGACAATGCCTCGTAGCTGTCAATAAATTACACTCCAGCCTGCATCATTCCCAGAATGGTAATGGTTTAAGCCTGCAGTGCCTTAAGCCCAACCCCATCAATAGCGTGACCAATGGCCTCAAGAAGTGAGCTCACATTCACATGTTGCCATCACCCGACTGAGGGACTGCTACTACACAACCTGTGTTTTAAAAGTAGCAATACACCATGAGATTTGTCAGGGAATACAAGCCTTGAGCTCAGTGCTTAAAGAGCTGCCAACTGCAGTGGTGGTAGGAGATGCTCATGTCTAGATAACTACACAAACAAGACATGAAGCTTCCACTGACATCAGTGGAAGAAATGGTGATGAAATCAAAAGGCAGAATATAAAGTAAGTGTTTTTGCAAATAAGAGTCCTCTACAAACTTTAAAAAAACCTCTCATCTTCATGTTATTTCACAACTGAAAATTAAACCAGATACATAAATCAGAAACCATTTTGTTGTTACAGTGTTATGGATTTCAAATCAAAATACAGCAGACATTCACACCATAATTGCAGTCCATAACAATTCATCGTCAGATATACAGGAAACATTTGTAATAAACTGTAAGAAATTCAATAGTAAGGCACACAAAGCTATCCTGCCTCTCTTTCTTCATGAATTTTGAGCACTTCAACTTTTGCTCACAATTTGCATTTTTGTGACAAAGCAACAAAACACACTATCCCAATTTCCACAGATTTTGACAATTCAAGAAACCTCTGACCACCTTCCATAGCTATAGGGCCCAAGCCACTAGATTCTCTAGATGCCCTTCCTTCTTTAGGAAAAGCCCAGAGGACCATGACTCTCTGCATAGTAGTTTCATAATCTAGTAAGTCATTCATGATGTTTCTCGATAAACAGAAAGGCTACAAAGCCCCATTAGTGGATTGCTAGGTGGGTTGGTCTCCCTTTTCTCCCATTAATGAGCACTATGCCTGCACAGCCAAAAAATGATGATTCCTGCACTCAGATATTGTGGTTTTGCAGGACTATCTGAGAATTGTTATTTTTCTGGTTTTACATCCTAAAGCACAAACAAAATTTTTGCAGTTGTACCATCAGTGTAAAATTTAGAGCTGTAAACTATCAACTGAGCATCTAAAAAAACTATATGCAAAATATATAAATTAATTAGATTTTAAAATATAGGAAAAATGTCATTAGAAAAAATCAGAGAAAAAAAAACTTGAAAAAATTTTGAAAAAATATCTCCTCAAATTACTCACTTATTTAAACAATAACATGATTTTCATATTTCATAGCATTATTTTAAATTTTAAATCCCATTTTCATTCATTTACTATTTATAAACCACAAGTCAAAATTAATGATTCAGTATGTGCTTGTTAATAAAATTAATCTACAAGCCTAGTAGGTGATCAATCTCCAGTCGTGAAAAGAAATTTGCATGGGCAGAGAGACTCTGCAAATGTGCAGAGCACTCTGGAGCACCAGGGTGCCTTCAGCACCATGAGAAGGTCTACCCCTCTCAGCCACCTCTGGAGCTCTGGGCCACTGTTACCAGCAATGTCTCAAAGAGCAGGACCAGCTCAGGTCATAGGGATGCAAAGCCTGAGGGAAGACTGTCACATGAGATCTAGGATATCACACCAGCGAGTGTCTTCAGGCACACCAACCTGCAAGCCTTCCTCAAACACTGAAAATCATCAGTAAAAAGAAATGTAGACTGTTCTTAAGAAGATATTCACACACGTGCTTGTGTTTTTCTCTTTAATACGGCCTACTGCATTTTCTTTTATAACATCTATTTCAAAAATAAATTATTAGTAAGATACAGATGGTAAACAATGTTTAAAACCAGTGACACCAAATGTTCTGAATTACTTGGGTAGAGAACAGGGTGACTTTGAAAAGGTTTTGGTCTGTTCCACAGATGGAAGCCAGTGTAAACTCCACATTCCCAGCTATAAAGTTCCCTGTAACAGTATAATACATTTGCTGTAAGGAACCAGAGACACAGTGGTTATTCCAGGGAAATCTGTTACATTACTTTATGAATTTGCAGGTGAATCAACTGCTTAAAAACAAGGAAAATAATGCACATTTTTATGTAAGATGTAGTGTAGTGTCAATATCCTAACAGTATATAATTACAATTATGCAGCAGATGAAGTGAATTAATCTCATATGAGTTCTAAATTAATAAAAACCACGTTTATTCTTCTGAGCTTTTTTAGCTGATACTGCCACTAGTAGTCAGCATAATATATCAGATTGTGTTCATGCACTTAAAGGAGCGAATTTATCATGATTATTTTTAGTATGGCACACATTACGTTCTTACTGATGTCAAAGCAAGGTTTACTATTATTATTATTACTACACTCCCCTAAAAAAAAAAAATCAGGAACTTCTTCACTATTACCACACTGGATACCTAAATTATGTCTTCAAATCCAAAAAAAAAAAAAGTGTAATTTTAAAAATGGGACTTGCACACCCTTTTTGAAGAGACACTGAGAACTTCTGAAGGCATTATCACTAACTCAAGTACTCTTCACTATTTAGGGATCTTTCAAAAAAATTAGAAATCACATACAAAACAACCTACAATACCTGTACTATACTGGTGGGTTGACCATGGATAACAGTACACTCATCTAGCTGGTAAGGGCCATGTCAACGAAAAAAGATATACAAATATTTGCCTACAAGCAATGTTGTGTACCTGTAAGACAGGATTTCATTTAGCCCACTCAGTATTTAATTTAACCCCCATGGAATTAGTGTATCACTTGAGCACCTCAAAGCCTACTACTCCAGAAAAAGAAGTTTAAGGAGGAAATACCTTTTAAATCAATGGGCTTTTTGTAATTTGAGGACTCCGAGAAAAGCAAAAAGTGACCCAGTTATATCTTAAAGGCTCAGAAACCAACATAAATGGAGGGGGAAAGCACACAGGCTAAAAAGATGTGTGTTTTTCCTTTGTTTTGATTTTCTCTACTATAACCTTCTGATCATTCAAATTTTTATTACCTGACAATATGGGTGGAAGCAAAACATCTGTACCCTGAAATTGCAACTTCACAAGACCACAATTTCATATGAATTAATTTCATATTTTCTAACAGCTGTCAGGTACTTAGTCACCTTTCTGGCAATGTGGTTCTGAACAAAATGCAGAACTATTTCTTCCTTCCTTGTAAAGCTTTTGATCAAGCACTACAAATGTTTAACAGAGATTAACTTAGTGCATCCTCAGGCATCTGTGCAGACGCCTTCTCACTCCCAGAAAGCACAAGTCCTTTGAGCAGCCCAGACAGCTTCTGCCCTCCCTCCCGCCCAGAAAGGTAGCACCATGATACTCAGGTAGGTGCCACCAGGATATCTCCAAGTAGCCAGCTTCAGTAGGTGTTCTACAGCACCCAAACACTTCACCATTAAAAGTTTCCCAAAACTCTCTGAGCATCTGCAAACTTCTGCAAAGTCTGCTCCCATCACTTGAGACCATTTATTAATGTCTTTCTTTAAAAAAAAAAAAAAAAAAGAGATCACTTTGTGTTGAGTGATCAGTTTAACAAAAGGCCAGACACAGTACGTAACAGGCATCATTAACCCTACTATATCCAGTGTTTTTCCCTGGCTCAGGAGCACTTCTACATACTTGTGTGCAATATCAGGTCCAGACTTGGGGAGGGTACCCAGGTAAAATCTCACAGCAATACTGTGACCCCCTTTCTTGTTGCTCTGCTCTTTCCCAGGCAGACAATGATCATGTCAAATCTTTCAGCCTCTCTTTTGCGTTGGTGGAATACTGTAATGGTCACTTCAAGATAAGTTTCTTATTTCTGTGCTCGGAATTATTTCATTGTGAGGGTGACCAAACACTGTCACAGGCTGCCCAGACAGGAGGTGGAGTCTCCATCCTAGGGATGGCCCTGGACATGGTCTTGGGCAACTGGGTCCAGGTGGTGCTGCTTGACCAGGAATTGGACGACTTCCAGAATCCTTCCATCCTTAACCATGCTGCCCTTTTGTGAAACACTGAAACAGTTACGTAGTAAAAAAAATCAGTAGCAGAACAAACCTCCATCAGTACCTTTTAGATGGTTTTTGTTTCTGTTCTTTCAAAGTTGGCCATTTTCCTTTCTGATGTTATAGTTCCTCAAAAGCTATGAGCAGTCCTTACTTAAGCAAGGCCCCAAAGGCACTTTTCTGGACTCATTCCTTACAATTAAGTCTGTATTTTGGAAATGG